GCTGAGGGAGTTGAGGAGAGATAGCATGGCGGTTACATGTTGTCTGAGCCAGTATTTGGATTGAGCTGTGATTAGCCAATCATCAAGATAAGAATATAGGGCAATGTGTTGCCTGTGGAGCCACATTACTACAACGGCTATGCATTTTGTGAAAATGCAGGGTGCCATTGCTAGTCTGAATGGGAGGACCGAGAATGGGTATGTCTGATGGACGACTTGGAAGACTAGAAAACTGCGGTGAGAGTGGCCAATTGCAATATGGAAATAAGATCTGAAACCAATCATTCTTCTTTAGTAGGGGCAGTATGGAGTCGATTATCATCATCCTGAACTTCCTCAGTATGAGGTAAGAATTTAGCGTGCAAGGAGCTAATAATGTTGGCTGAAGTCCTCCATCCTTTTTTGGAATGGTAAAGTATTTTGAGAAAAAAGATAGTGGGTTTTGGCTGGAGTGGACTAGTTGGATCACTTCCTCCGCAAGGAGGTTTCTGATGTCCTTGAGGATGGCAGGTGACTCTGGGGTTCAAAGGATGTGTCCCATTTTGGGTAGTTCTTTGCATTCTAAGGTGTAGCCTTTTCAAACAATTTCTAGCACTCATGCACCTGAGATGATGACAGACCATGCCTCAGCATAGTGAGCAAGTCGGTCCATGATTCCTGTAACATTCTCAACAAACTACAGTATAACTCATTTACTGAAACCAACACACCTTTTTTTCAGTGCAGTTAACTTCATATCATTTAAACTCAAAGGATTTCATGTTCTTAACCAAAGGTTTAGCGATGGAGATAGAAATTATCCACATGGCTACAGCAACATTCTTAATTAAATACTTCTATACCAAATTTAATCAAATACATTTCTATAATTAAATGTACAGTACTGAATCAATCCTTCTAGACAAATAATAAAAACTGCCAACGTTTTCTGAAAGTGCTAGAATCTGGGTATTATCCCAGCCTAATTAGGACATCAGATTTTTACTTTAGGCATTCTGCTAATTCAACTGGAAAGATCTCAGTGTCAAGTCTTTAGTAAGAGCACTGATCAGTCTTGTAGGGAAAATCCTATCAGAGCTAAATTTTGAACTACATAAGCCTGCAATTTTTATAATTATTACAAACAATATTACAAGGTCCGATGGCATGGGACAACTCTATAAAAAAAACAACTTCACAATATCAATTTAATTAAGGAGATTATTGCTTGAGGGGAATCTAGTGTACCTCCAGAATTACTGTAGTCTACTGAGATACAAACAGGCTTATTACTAGGAGAATCCATACCTTGTTTCATTTTTAAAAGTAAATAAAAAAATACTTTGCATAGAATGAGCTTTATAGAGAACATTTATTATTGCCTCTCACTTACCAACGTATTTCCATAATCCACGATATTGCTATCTTTCTTTTATGTGCTGAGTTTTTTTGTTACTATTATTTCTCACTTATGGTTAACTTATGTTGACTCTGTCGTGAGGTCTTCTGAGGCTGAATGTATGTGACTCATCAAAGGTCACCTAGCGAATTTTCATGGGGGAGGAGGGAATTCAACCCTGGTCTCCAGAATCAAAGCTCAATGCTTAAACAATGACACCATGTTGGCTCATCAATATGTATTAAGACTCTTGTATGCATTGCCTTTTGGTAAGATTCTATGTTCAAGCACCAAATTGGAGATATATCCACATTTATACACACATAGAGTTCTCAGAACAGAATTTTGAGCTCCCTAAAGTTTAGGACTGAAAGAGGTATCATGGGGAAAAGGTGTCTCCGCTGAAGTTTTATTACCAATTTCTACAACAAACAATTTTTTCAAAATCCAACTATCACAGGAACAGAGAGGAAGGTGAACTCTTCTGAGCAGGGGCACAGACAGCAAAAACGTCATAGGAGTATTAACCCTTCCTTATGCTATCTGAAAGTTCTCTCTCTTTCTGTGTGTGTGTATCAGCTGGAGTTAAACTTTAAAAATCTACCTGTTCCAACTTACATACAAATTCAACTTAAGAACAAACCTACAGAATCCATTTTGTTTGTAACTTGGGAACAGCCTATAGTTATCTAATGAAAAACAAACTGAACGGCCCTTAACTGAAATGCTTGGGACCTGACGTGTTTTGGAATTTGTTTTTTTCCAGGTTTTGGAATATGTGTATTTGTATCTATGTACCAATACTGACGGAGATGGGACCCAAGTGTATGCACAAAATTCATTTTTATTTCATGTGCACCTTATGCAAAGGGCTTGAAAGTAATTTTATTTATATATGTGTGCGTGTGTCTATATCTATATCTGCATGAAACAAAGTTTGTGCACACTGAACCACCGGAAAGAAAGGTTATCTCAGCCACCCATGTAGACAATTTCGAGTTTGTACTATTTCTGATTTTGGATGTCTGGATAGGGCATGCTCAACCTGTATTGTCACATGAAGCCATCAGCAAGTTTTGATATGACTATCTACCACAATCATAAGAGGATATGAACTCATTATAACCACAAGACTAAACGCAATATGTCTATCACATTTTGATAATTTCCATGTAATGTATTTCTAGAACTATGCTCTCTTTTCTGTGTCCCTATGCTCTCTTGAGCAACCATCCCCTTGTTTAAGATTCTCAATAGAGACTACGAAACTCCTTGAAAAGTTGTTACAAGCTTCTGGTTTAAGAAGGTCAGCACACTTGGATCAGACTTGGTCAAAGAATAAATGTGACTTGGCCGTATGTTAAATTTAATATCTTAGAACATTTATTCTGCATTGTATAGCAAACTTTGTAACTCCATATTTCAGATACAGACCACCTGAATGAGACTGTCTACAATAATCTCACTTGCATGAATTTACGGCTTAGAGCAGTGATGGGCAACCTTTTGAGCTTGGTGTGTCAAAGTTCACCAAAAAGCAAGCATTACTTGGGTGGGGTGTCACTTCGAGAAAGAAAAACCCTATAATTTTGTGATACTTACAGTTTAAATAACAAAAATGAATAATAATAATAATAATAATAATAATAATAATAATAATATATGGCGGGAAATTGCACCTGTAACTCAGACTCTCGCCTCTCCCARCTCCCTCCTCCCCTCACTTTTCTCAGTAATGATGGTCACTTAGAAATCCACAACACCCCAGAACAGTAWAYTGGATGATGGTTGCTGTGATTATGTGGTTGCTGGTGATGGAGATCACAGGGCCCCCAGAGATGTGTCCCCCACGGCATTCCGCTGCTCCCTGCTCCCTAACGGCCTAACTGGAAGTTCCAGAACTAGACGCTAAACTACTGCAAATGTTTTATCCTCGGCTTCTGCACCTGGCCATGCAGGAGCCAAGGATGAAATGTCCTTCTTGGGATGCAGACCCAAACTTCTCTGTATGCAGCGGCATGCAGCCGCGTGTCATCAAAAATGTCTACACGTGTCAGTGCTGACACGCGTATCATAGGTTCGCCATCACGGGCTTAGAGCAATATGAAAATCTAGTCATTATTATTATTATTATTATTATTATTATTATTACTTTTACTAAATTTAGTATCAAGATACCTACTTCAAACTGGTCACATGAATACAAGATCTTTCAAATAATATACAGTAGTTATAATATTGATCCCACTGATTTGCCTATTATTACACAGCCCAACAATAACAAAACTTCTTGCTGTCTTGGTTTTTACGCCTGTTCCTAGGGTTATTTGGGGCACTGTTTCAGAAAATTGCATTGGATAGACCAGACCAGCTCTGGTTTCCTAGATATGGCTATCATACTTTTTGATGAGTGAGAAGATGAAGACTGTACTGTATATATTATATGTTCTGAATCACAAAAACAAGAGCTGGTAAGGGAAACTTACGCAATGTTTGGAATCAACAGATCAAATATACACAGAAACAAGACCAAAATTTAAGGCACCAAAAGTGTCATCAATATTTACATCTGTTTATATGTAAATGACTTCCAACGATAACTACAGAATCTAAGAGGTCTGAATTTACTAACAAACTATCCCTTTTGTAGGAATACAGTTATAGCAATGCATTGTGTTTAATACAGAGACATATTTGAGAGTGTAAACACCTCTTGTGATAACTACTTGTTGTCCTAACAGTTAAATAACTGGTAACCAAGGGGACAGCATAGTGTAGGAGTCTGAATGCTGAAATAGGGCTCTGAGACACTAGGGTTCAAATCCTTCCACAAGTAATGCTCTCATTCTTAATCTATGTTCTCTGTAAGAGCACTCCAACTTGGTTTAACACTCTAATAGAAAGACAGATGGAATATGCCAAATGTTCAACTTCTAGTCTAGAGTCAAAGTTACAGATGAAGTACTACATTTTTACCATCTCAGCCTCTTACTCTCAGACAGGGAGAAATAAACACAGATAACACAGACTGGCACTGTTCTGAAAAGGGAAATTATGTTGACACTGTGTTGTGTTCATTTATCAGACAAGGATTATTGTATAAGGGGAGGAAAGGCACAGACCTCTGAAAAGGTGTGAAATAATAATAATAATAATAATAATAATAATAATAAGTAGTAGTAGTAGTTTATTTTTAACCCATCTTCTCTCCCTGAAAGGACTCAATGGTTGAATATGTGACAGATCCCCAATAGCATGTTTGCTTTGCAACAGTAGGTTAAGATATTAAAAAAAATGAAAAATGCATATTTAAAAAGTAAAAATGCCTGTAGTATTAATAAGTAAGCCAGCTAAATTCTCAGCAGTGATAGCTTAGTTTAAAGTGGACAACTTTCCTGAAAATATCAAAAGAAGACTATTCTGCAGTTCTAGAAATAGCAAAGGATTGCATTTATGTCAATTAGAACATAGTGTTGCAAACTCACTATAATGAAATATCTTTGCTGAAATATTGTGATATTTAATGAGTCATTCAATACTTGTTTTATAGAGGGAGAGCTATCCATTTTTACTAGGAATGTGGCATGCAATTGTAGTATAACAAGTGAAAATGTACACTTACCTCAAAGCCAAGCCTATCCTTCTCTTTCCAAAAGCAAAAATGTGTAACTTTCTTGTCCCAGAATTCATCTGGTTTTACTACACAGACAAGTGATACCTCTGCTGGAACAACATTCTAAAAAAATGTAAGATAACAAAGACCAATTTTCAGTTTCTGCAGAACGTCATATTTCCATTTATCACAAAAATTGTGGTATTATATTATTCCTTCTATACAGACCATTAGCCATTGTATGATCATCAGCTTCTACACAGAGAAGTTGCTATGCTACTGAATGTTCTTTCTAGTATTTTAGTAATGAAAAAGGTGGTGATAGCAAACCAAAGCAGAACATAAAAGCAAATACAAGGAGAAAGAAATATTCCATACAAAAGTTGGAATAATGGTCAAAGCATTATTTTAAACAATCGACTGGCATCACAATCTAATACTCCGAAATCAGTCCCAATGTGTTCAGCTGGATTTCATTCCCTTGTAGTTTTACATACAGGACTGCAGTGTAAATAATGCAAAATTGTTAGTTGGGTACAGTACTCATGAATTCATTTCCTGTGCAACTGTAAAATACACATAATTTTCTTTTACATGAGAGATTATAAGGAACTATATTGCAGCCATCTAACCAAAAGAACACCCTCACTCTACTAACTCTTTGCAACTACTTATGGTTCGCAACTGTCACCTGCTGCATACAACTTGTTTCTCAAATTTTCCCTCTTTTAGGTGAACACACACATAACATATTAAATAAACCCAGATAGCAAGAACAAAGTGCTTATTATTCAATAATCTTGGCAGCACAAATCCAGTAAAAGAGCATTCATACAGAACAGAAAAGAAAGAATTGTCTTGCCGTTTGACAAAAAAATGGTTTAGGGTCAAAATGTCAAACCTCATTAAGCCAACATCTGTTGATAATTTTCATAAATCCAAGAGGGGGAAAAGTGTTGTCCTATTTTTCAATCTAAAGCACAGGGCAGGTCGTTCAAGTAAAATAAAAAAATTAGCAATTTTAGGATTCATTTTCCAATGCAGCCCCAACTCCAGCTCCCCACTCAAGGAAAATTTGCCTTTCTTTCTCCTTGGTTAATTTTGAAAGGTATTCTTTCCCATTTCCCCCAATAAATATAAACACACTATGCTATTATTGAGTGGTTGTTTAATTAGAGGTACCGTATATACTCAAGTATAATCCAAATTTTTCAGCCCTTTTTTAGGTTGAAAAAGCCCCCCTTGGCTTACACTCAAGTCAAGGTTATTTATTATTTTGCTCTGTTGTTGTTGTTATTAGAATTATTATTTGACTCTATTAATTAGTATTACTACCATATTTCCATTTTTATTCTGTAATTATTATTTTTATTAGATTTATTATTTCTCTCTTTCGTTATTATTGAAAGGATATGTAAGCACATTGAAGAATTTTAGAATAATGGTTTAATCAGAGTTGGACAGCCTTAACCAAAATTAGTTTTATGTAAATATTCAAAAACATGTAACCTACTTATGCCTCCATTAATGTAATTTTATTGGTATCTATTTTTATTTTGAAATTTACCACTAGCTGCTGTATTTCCCACCCTCAGCTTATACACAAGTCAATACGTTTTCCCAGTTTTTTGTGGTAAAATTAGGTGGCTTGGCTTATATTTGGGTCGTTTTATACTCAAATATATATGGTATTTTAAAACGTACCTTCATTGCAGGATATCAGAGACGTATATATACAACATAAAATCAAAATAAACTATAGGTAGAAAAAGAAATTGTAATAAAATCCCATCCATGGAATAGACCATCACCCAGCCAGGGAATACAATTTTAAAATACAAAATTATAAATGTCTGAGAATTACCAATGCAACTCATGCACATACAATATTATTATTATTATTATTAGTAGTAGTAGTAGTATTTATACCCGGGGGTTTTTTGCCATAAGAAAAATCAATTATATATTTGAGTATGCACTTTGTAACACATTTTTTTATTCTGAACTGTTTTCAGAAATTATGGGGTTTATAATAAACTATACTTTCAAAAAACACAGTTTCTCTCTATGGAGACAAAAAAGGAAACTTGCTTTATTATGAACTGCAATTGAAAGCTTCTCATGACTTCTCCCCGTTGTGGAAGAATAAAGTGCATAGACATGAGGTTCAATTCAGTTTCCACAAATAACAAACCACACTTGGATTTTATAAATATGTAATGCTGTGCATCAACTATTAACCTAAATAAAACTTCATTTGTGTTACAATGTCATTCTAAATTTTTAAAAATCCAACTTACCTGTAGCATTAATACAACAGTTTTGACAACATTCCATTGAGATTTTCTACCATCAACTATAACAGTAAATCCTCTGGCTTTACATTTTTCACTGCAAAATAAAATCAATAAGATAAAATGAGCATGCACTTAAAACACATGGCACTGTTCTAGTATTCTAACATCATTAACTGAGTTGAATAAGCAAAAAAAGAAGAAAAAAAAGAAAGATGAAATCACAATGAGCTCTTGGCATCCACTGAGGTTTGGTTCCAGGACTCCCAGGCATACCAAACACTGTGGGCACTCAGGTTGCAGTATATACAATGAAGTAAAATGGTGTCCCACATTTAAAATGGTAAAATCATGGTTTATTTTTGGATTTAAAAAAATTAAGCCATGGATGGTTGAATCTGTAGATATGGAGGGCCGACTGTACTCTCTTCCTTAAAATCTTTTTAAACAATGGAGGAGCATTTTCTCCCTGTTCAAATTTCCCAGAAAACTTTTTATTGTTTATTGGAGGACCAAAGTTCAAGGGTTATGAATAACCTATTATCAACCTCCCAGCAAGCCACCCTTCTGTCCGCTTCCAAGAATGTTTCCTTGGTGGTATTGTTTCTTTTCTTTTATATATTTAGTATGGAAATGAACACAGTGTGTTACAGCAAACAGCATTACTTTAAGAGGAAGAGTTACACTTATGCAATATCTATTAGCTTAGAAATAGGGCACTCAAGTCAAACCTTCTTGGCCTGGTATTATGTACTACTAAGCCACCACTATAATGTCCATGCCATGTGTACTGCGAAATGTAAAATGCCCTTGTAACTGTGTCCGGATCAAGATTTTGTAGGTGCTGCAGAGCTACGTGACAGCACTTCTGCTGCAACATCAGGTGTATTAGAAGCAAACTTTTATTTTTAATGGGACACCAAAACGATTTTTTCATTAGCCCAGGATGCAGTATCTTTTTGCACACAGAGATTGTTTGGCAAGCAACACACAGGTATACCTACAATTGTTTGGCTTGCCAAGCAATGAATCTTTATTGAGTAGCAGATATATGCTGCTTCCTCCAAAGAAAGGATGGAAAATAAGTGGCCTTGGTTGCATCCCCCACCATGACAGTGCTGACTAGGGCTGATGGGAGGTGCTGTCTAGGAAACATCTGAAGGACCATATGCTCCCCCTTTTCTGTCTTAAAGGAAAGCTTGTGATGGGCTTTAAATGTTTAGGGAAGTTAAAGGAGTATCATGTGAGACAATATGTGAAGATATATGGGAGGAGGACGCAAAAGACAAACTGCTGAAAAAATAAATTTGTTTCAAAAATTTTACCCATTCATTGCAAAGCCTAAGGGTGTCCTAGATCTTGTTATTCAGAAAGAATCTGAAGAAATGGCCTTGAAACTAGGAAAACAACTTTTTGGGAGGTACTTACTGACACAAATACAGCTTTATACAACAAACACTCTAAATCAGAGGTAGGGAAATAAATTAACTTTGCCGAACCACAAGGATGTTCTAAATTCCTTGTTACAAGGTAAGAGTTCGCAAATAATGTAAATTGCCTGCTATGATTTGCCGTGTCCAAGAAGCAGATGAGGGCATAACAAAGATATACTTCAAAAGAAACACAACATATGAGAGTGGTAACATTATGTATTTGGGGGGCGGGGAGATAAATAATTCCAGAGGTAGCTCCTGATGAACCCAATATCAGTGGGGAGATTAATCTGATTCAATTTTAGTCTAAAATTCAAAGGCACTCTCCAAGGTTCTGAGATTTATTGTTGTGATTTGTTTTAACTGTTTTATAATTTGATGTGCTATGTTTATTGGTGTGCGTATGATGCAGCATTGAATTTTTGCTGTAGTTTGCAGGCCTCTCTGAGCCTCCTTTGGGGTGAGAAGGGCAGAGTATAAACATAGCAAGTAAGCAAGTAAATAAATAAATAAATAAATAAATTTGCCATACTGTCCCACCTTGAATAGCACATGTACAGTTGATATTGTAAATCTATGTGTTTTGTGCAACCCATTGCTCCTTTTCTTCACAATTTGCAATTAATTTTCTCCTCTGCCTTTAAGAGATGCAGAAAATACAAATACAGTATAATCCCTGTATCTGGGGAGGATATACTCCATGCCAACCCTGCATTTTGACCATACCTGGGTCAGAAGCATACCATGGACCTAGAAAGACCCACAAACATTTCTGGAGGGAAACTATGGATATCGAATCAGTGGATAAGGGGCTTGTACTCAACACATAGTGTTGTCTCAAGAATTGGGATTGCACAAATTTTGAGGTCTTATTTGCACGTCCCACTTAGCCAGTCTGTGGCAATATTTATCCTTGTGCCCATATCTCATCTGTAAAATCACAATGACTTGCCTATCATGAGGACTACTGAGATTTTGTAGGCAAAGAGCTGTGCAAGCAATAAAAAACAGAAACAAAAGGACTAGGAGCTGGCTCCTGTTTCAGAAATGAATCTGGAAATCAATTGTTTCTGAACAAATGCAAAAGGTTTTCCCACTTTGACATAAAGAAATGCTCTTTTTAAAGATTTAGTTACTACTTCGATCATCTACAGTCTTTAATCCAAACAAAGACTATAAACCCTAGGATGTTCAGTACTGAGCCTTCAAAATATGATATATCAATTATGAACACCCCAACACTATCATTTTAGTTTCTTTAAAAGGACAACCTTTCTCTGATTTAGACTGTGATAATGGGTTCTGAGCTGAGTTTACATAAAGGACTAAACTCCTTTCTCTTCCTCCTCAGGCACAACTGCATTGAGAAATCTGGAAGCTTTCATGTATCTTTTAAACAAATCACATTTTATTGTTATATCTGAGTATAAACAAAACTGCAAGTCCTACCATGTGACTTGTTCTAACCAACCATACATAAGAGATACTATAATGTAGACTTTGTGCATAATGCTACATTATGGTTAAGCTAAAATGGAAATGAAAGCTTTCATTCTCCTCTGCACAGAGGAGGAATTCCTCTTCAAAGAGGAAGAAAGGAGGCATAGGAGGATGAGTTTTAAATACCACCTGTGTATATGCCATGTGTGTATGGAGAAGTATATCCAGCGCAATTTTCCTTTTCATCATTTGGAAGAGAGAACCAGAGGATGAATTCATACTACTACAGTGGTCCTCCTTCCTATCAAACAGGTTTTGCTTTAGGTTACATGTATTACTTGAAATTTCCTTTCAATGTCACTGTTTGAAAATTAACCTGCATCCCTGCTGTGCATTCTAACACTCTCAAAGTAATATAACATTCAGATTTGAAATGTTAGAACAGAACACTCCAATACAACACATCTGTACTTCAGAACTAAGAAAGAGGTGATTCTAATCAGAGGGTGCTCAAGGACATAAAGTGTTTTTTATTATTATTTCCTTGAGCTTTGTAAACAGTGTTTATGTTTGAGCCATGATTCACATTCCACATTAAGGCTTCTAGCTACCTCTTGTACCTCAATCCTCTCAAAGAAACATAATGAGATGTAATCAAGAAACATATTTTGTTTAGAAACACCATGATAATAGAAAATGTTTTCGAAGCACACTCAATGAGTCACCTTGGAATGCTGAGCAGGTAGTCCAAGGTGACACTCAGCTCATCCATATTCGTTTGTTCAAGGCATAATGGAATTGTCAGAATGAGGCCACTTCTTCGATCTTTCCCACCTGTAAAAGCATAAGAATTTGAAGGTTTGCATTAGCAGAAGGGGAAACACCAAACTGTTTGTCATATTTATCATAATTGGCACTAAAACTTTTTAAAAGAATGAATTACATGCTACACTTATGAAAAATGCTGCATGTAGTTTAGTACAATGTGCCCATTTGGCCACAACAATATGTGACAAGAGACTAAAATAGACACGGTGTGTACGAGCATAATCACATGGCTCAAAATCAGGCTTAACTTAAGAGAGAGTTTTATTTAATTCTTCTGGAATACACAGCCTACATTTCCAAAAGATAAGCCATTAAACCGATCACACAACAGATTCTGTTTTAGACACTGATTATGTACAGGTGAAACCTAGTAAGTGGAAAAGTTTTCAAGATTTTCCAAAAGAATTTTTTTTGTGGTTGCATTACATTGTCTTAATCTTCTGAAGTGCAAAATGCTTTTTTCTCAAATATAGTCCATAAATACCACACATATACATATACACATATACATAATTGATACCATGATAAATATATAAACTATAATATGGGTTTACTAGCCAGCTATTTAAAAGTCTTGCACCTTGTATGAAAACACATCTATCAATACAATAATCTGCCTTTACTACCATTATTAACAATGAAAGACACTTGTTCTTGCTACAACTGAAAAAGCTACAGAACAGAGGTGTCAGAAGTTGTCTAGCAGATTGCACAAGAAGCATTTGAGGTGTCTTTTTGTTTGGAGAATTTCCTGCTGTTCAGTGAGACATGCTTAGAAATTTCACAGCTCCTTAGTCTCAAGCTTGTAAAGCTTCTCTGGTGGTGCCTGGAGTTCCCAGAAACCTTAAACTGCTTTTTGGGACATGCTTTCCTCCATTTGAGTCATTGAAACATAGAAGAAAGGTTAAGTTGATATGATACTCAAAAGGTAAGTGACAAAACACTGATTTGTTTCCTAGCTGTTTCCTAATTATTGTTATTGATCCAATTCTAAATCAAGGTGAGATGAGTTCAGCCATCATTAACTGTAAGCTTTCTATTAAAGTAAGCTGTTTCCTATAGTTGGGACCAAAATATCTTCGATGACTGGAAGCATCATAAAGCATACATCAGAAGAAAAATCATACTGTAGCCTGCTACATAAAATTCAGTGCTACTACAGTTGTAGAAGAACATAGCTCTCTTCTTCACTAACCACTTAGGTCAGTTTATAACTGGTTTAGCAGAAATCAGTTTTGCTGTGTAGATGATTAGATTGCCGTTTCTAGAACAGGTTCGAGGCCAGAAATGTGAATGTATTAATCATGGAAGGTGGCCTCCAACCAATTCCAGAATCCACAATTTGACAGCTGCTGGAAAGTGCAGATTTTGATTCTCCATTTCCCAGCGAGATGTGCACCAGTGCTCCAGAGGCACACAAGGAGGAATCAGGAAGAGAAAGTAACAGTTAATGAATTGCCTGTCCCAGGGGTCAACTGGTCCCCTGTTGTACAGCCATGCTATTGGGGTGTTTTTGGTAGCCCCACACCTGCACAATGCAAAATTTTACAAAGCACTTCAGAAACAGCCAGGTGTCTATAAAGCACTTCACATTCCACAGACCCAATTTCCCTGTGTGATGTGGCTTAACATCTGGGGTCATTGGTGCTCGTAACTGGGCTTATCTTGCACTTTCCCTCAATTTTGCTTGAAGTGCTTTAAACTCTTTAATGCTTAACCATAATGTAGCACACTGTAGCACACTTTGACAGCATACATTATCCAGCTACCACAATCTTTCACAAGCTTCAAACTGCTTTATATGGTCAGTGTAGATATGCCCATTATCTCTCATGGAAATATATTTACGCACATTTGAACTTCTTTAGTCCAATGGCTTTTTAATATTTATTTCTATCCAACTGGGTCAAATTGATGCTAAATAAGCTTTATATATAAGTACATTTTGTCAAGGCAACTGACACTTCTACACTGAAATTTTTATAATGAAAATGTACAGGAATAGTAACGAAGAATCAATTCTATTTCTACAATTATTTGGTCAGAGGTGTAACTTCATTAGAGCGTAAACATAGTAGTTCATTAAGCAACTTCCAATGGCAAATACAGAGAACAAAGAGCATTCCGTATGCTTTGCAACAGTTGATTTTGACATAATTGCAAACCAATTTATTGCACTTCAAAAAAAAGGTTTCAATAACTTTAAAATAAGAACAATCAGGCCTGTTTTTATATTTAAAACATCTCATTTCTGTACACAGACGAATACAAATGCAAAGTCAGCTAAACGGAAGCAAAAGTGTGTATTCAAGTGTAATAATAATAATTTATTTATATTCTGTCCTATCTCCCTAGGGGGACTCAGGGCGGATTCCAACATACAAAGGCAAACATTCAATGTCACCATAGAACAAACATAATATCGTGTATATTTCAGATCTTTTATTTTACTTTCACTTGATGTGTCAGTTTTTGAGGAGCAAAACTTCAAAGAATCTTAAAACTTAACAGAACTGAGGGGAAAATGATTTTTTTCTCAAAAGGTCTGGAAGTGGCTGATTATCCATTTTCATTACATCTGGTATATTGTATGGATCTTGCTCTCAATTGCAGCCAAAAGTTACAATATGGATTTTACATGAAACCATTCAGTGAAGCCATGTGGAAATCTGGATGAAGATATGGGATGGGCACAATCAAAGAGTCAATGTCTTCTTCACCAGGTTACAATCATTATTCCAGGTTAAAAATGGTCACTGCTGGCAATGACAACAGCATCTTATTGTTCTCTGTCTCCCAAAAGCAATGTGAGGCAGACACAGCATTGGTTCAGCTTGGCAAAGAATGCAGTAAGGGATGTGTGGTTGCCAGCTCCTCCTTTGTTTTTAATGATTTGCTTGCTTTCAATCCTACAAACAGAGGCAAATGAGGGAGGGGAGAGTGACTAGGCAATGACATTTCAAGGTGTCATCAATATGTTGATGACATGCAACTTTGCCTCTCTTTTCCATATTCTGATCTCAAGGAGGTGATGGATAATTGTACTGGATTGCCTTAGATGATAATGGTTGTGAAAGTGGGATCAAATTATATATGTGAAGTGCCATGAGTTTTTTAAAATGTGCAATATGTAGAATGTTAAATACAATTTTGTGATCAATGATTTGTAATGAGTAATTTAGCAAATACATCAAAATTTGATTTCAAACATGAAAGCTGATTGTCTTATAAATGCAAAAAACAAGATTATCATCAGCATTCCACCTCCCGGGTTTAACACGGTCTATTTTTTTTAAAAAGGGAATAGCAGACACACTGGATGCACAACATCATTACAGTATTCTCTAGGTAATTTTCTCTGTCTTTTAATGACTGTATGAGAAACTCTCCATTAATAGTGGTTACCAAACTTTGGTCCTGCGGGTGTTTTGGACTTCAGTTTCCATAATCTCTCATTGTTGACTAAGCTGAATAGGGATTTTTGGAGTTGAAGTCCAAAACACCTGCAAGACTAAAGTTTGGGAACCACTAACCTAGAAGATATTTTAGTTTTTCAATTACATCCCTATACTGCTGAATGTGGAGCACATTTCTGTCTTTATCTTGGAGCAATCCTTTGAAGCAAGCCTGGGGGGGGGGGAGGGGAGCTACAGGGGGAACAATTATAATACTTTCCCTCCCCAAATTGACTGGCAAAAAAAATCCAGGATCAAAGAGCCATTCAAGAGCGGAGGAACACTATCAGGTACAATATGTGGTAAATGAATCCATCTGAGAACACCAACTGATGAGAAACTGCAGAACGGAAATCTTCCGTACCAGAACACATCTTACACTTTCTAACTTTCTACAGGAAGCAAGTTTTGTTGCAACACTCATACATAAACTCTGATCCTTACTTACAATCTTAAGTAGCATGGAATCATAGAATCAGAGTTGGAAGAGACCTCCAGTCCAACCCCCCTGCCAAGGAGCAGGAAAATCGCATTCAAAGCACCCCCAACAGATGGCCATTCAGCTTCTGTTTAAAAGCTTCCAAAGAAGGAGCTTCCACCACATTCCGGGGCAGAGAGTTCCACTGCTGAACAGCTCTCACAGTTAGGAGATTCTTCTTAATGTTCAGGTAGAATCTCCTTTCCTGTAGTTTGAAGCCATTGGTCCCTGTCCTAGTCTCCAGGGCAGCAGAAAACAAGCTTGCTCTCTCCTCCCTATGACTTCCCCTCACATATTTAAACATGTCTCCTCTCAACTTTCTCTTCTGCAGGCTAAACATGCCCAGCTCTTTAAGCCCCTCCTCATAGGGCTTGTTCTCCAGATCCTTGATCGTTTTAGTCGCCCTCCTCTGGATACATTCCAGCTTGTCAACATCTCCCTTCAATTGCGGTGCCCAGAATTGGACACAAGTGTGATTCCAGGTGTGGTCTGACGAAGGCAGAATAGAGGGGTAGCATGACTTCTAGACACCAGACCCCTATTTATGCAGGACAAATCCCATTGGCTTTTTAAGCTGCCGCCTGACATTGTTGGCTCATGTTTAACTCGTTGTCTACGAGGATTCCAAGATCTTTCTCACATGTACTGCTATCAAGCCAGGCGTCCCCATTCTGTATGTTCGCATTTCATTTTTTCTGCCGAAGTGGAGTATCTTGCATTTGTCTCTACTGAACTTCATTTTGTTAGTTTTGGCCCATTTCTCTAATCTGCTCAGATCATTTTGAATTCTGCTCCTGTCCTCTGGAGTATTGGCTATCCCTCCCAATTTGCTGTCGCCTGCAAACTTGATGACCATGCCTTCTAAGCCTTCATCTAAGTCATTAATAAAGATGTTGAACAGGACCAGTCCCAGGACTGAATCCTGCGGCACTCCGCTCATCACTTCTTTCCAAGATGAAGAGGAAGCATTGGTGAGCACCCTCTGGGTTCGTTCACTTAACCAATTACAGACTACCTTCTTCTTGTCACTAGCAATAACAGCAAAGGGCTGCCTAGTTTCAAAACATGATGAATTTAAACAGAGAGCTGAAAGGCTCTCTTGCACTGACAATCTATTCCTACAATGGGGAAAAAATCCAGTAAAATAATCCTAACTGAGATTTCTTCCGGTTAAGCTCTAAGTCATAAACATCAGTAACTGGGAGAGCTTGCCTTTAGCTCCTCTACTTCCAGAGAACAAGAATTTAATCAACAGTAAACAGCAGGTGCAGGAAGAGGAAATGACTATGCATTGTTCAAAATAATAAGATCATATTGATCCTATAACTTGAAACAGCTAAGCATGCTAAAGGAAATAGTATTTGCCTTCCACTTATTGTACATCTTGCAATCATAATTGTTTTCCTTTTCAATGTGTGTTTGTTTGTACAACGAGACAAAAACTAGACTTTCTTTTTTAGATTATTTTTGAGCAGAGTGCAAGAAGTCAAGGAAGGATAAAAATACAAAGCTTGACACTGTGTTGGGGCTTCTTTTGTAAGAATTATTCTAAAATTTCCCCACAAAAGGCAGGGGGGGATGTGTTGAACAGTGGCCCTACATTCAGATTAGACATGTATGTAATAGCCTGGATCCAAATGCTGGCTTTGTGTGAGCAAAAAGGATTTCTAAGATGCAAAGCAGAAAAGTCTCAATGATTCACTTTGCCCTCTGAAATCCCTTATACCTCCAAATAGCAGCTACAAACGACTGAAGATACTATTAGTCCATTGTGGCCCTTCCAGACAGGCCCTAAATCCCAGGATCTGATCCCAGGTTTTCTGTTTCTCTCAGATTATCTGGTAGTGCAGACTCGTATAATCCAGTTTAAAGCAGAAAATCTGGGATCCGATCCTTGGATAAAGGGCCTGCCTGGAAGGGCCCTGCGGGGCACAGAAAGCTTCAGCACAGAGAATCAGAAAGGCCCGCTGGTACCCACTCCCCATTGGAGTCAAGAAGAATATTGGCCAAGAGAAGACAAAAACAGAGCTGGTTTTTCCAGTCAGATGTTTCCATCAGTTGAAACGTTTCATGGTTGGAATGAAAATGATTGCCAGAAAACTATATATTTAATGCCTGCCAGGAAAAGGTGCCGTAAAAATGTCTTTGGCAGGAAAGAAAGCTGCCCTGCTGCTTATTTATTTCCTCTGCTCTATTATGTTCCTCATCTTTTGTGAACATTATTAAACAAGAGTCATTATTCAATTATAACAAATCAGCTTCCGTCACTGTTTATTTACTGTGCGGGTTTTAAAGGCAATACAATTATGTCTCGCTATAAAAGAGGATTCTTTTGTAATGAAATGCTTGCTTCTAAGAAGCAACTTCAAGTATAAAATCAGCAAAATGCTACAGGAATCTTTCTTTTTCCTGCTCCACGTAAAGGACATAAACAATTCCACTGGAGGTCAATACAGCCCCCTTATTCTAGTTCATTCACTCATTCATTCAATATAAGGCAGCAGTGGGGAGAATGTGTAGCTTGCTATACGTTGCTGGGTTGCAACTCACATCATCTCTCACCACCAGCCACGTTGGATGGAGCGAATTGGAGTGGCAATCAGTAGAAATTGGAAGGTTGTATTTTCCTTCTCTCTACTGTCTTCATTCCATATCTTACTCATACTTGTATCTCTATCTAGCATCAGGAGCCAGGCTTTAGCACAGCAGGTTAAACCACCTGCTGTAGCCAATCTTGTCAGTTGAAAGGCTGCCAGTTCAAAGCCCAGGTCAGGGGAAGCTCCTGGTCTTTAGCTCAGTTTCCACCTACCTAATGGTTCAACAGCAAATGTAAGTAGATAAATAGGTACCGCTTTTTAAAAAGTGGGGAGGTATTCTGAGGCATCCATTAAGGAATGACAGTGATTCAATCCAAAAAGGAGGAATTTACGAACAAGCTCTTTGATAAGAAGATGGAGTGGCAACACCCCCCATGGCCGGAATTGAGCACAACACTTTCCAAGATGCCAAAAGATAGGGAAATTCTGTATGTATGTATGTATGTATGTATGTGTGTGTATATATATACACACACACACACACACATATATGTGTGTGTACACACGTATCTTATCTATGTATAATTGTCTAATTTTGTATACAATGGCACTGAATGCTTATCTCATACGTATGTTCTGTGATTCACCCTGTGTCCCCTTTGGGGTGAGAAGGGCAAAATACAAATACTGTAATACACATATAATAAAAGTGAAAAATGTGTGTGTAGGTGACAGACAGCCTCCCACCTCCACAAACAGGCTATGGTTCCAAGTGCTGAGAAAGTTTCCAAAGGCACTTCCTCAACTGACACTGCAGGTTATAGTGAGTGCCATGAACATGTAGCCCAAATGCTGCCAATGTCCTCCCCAAACACTAATCACCCAAGGAATGCTTTCATTTCAGGACAATTTCATCCTAGATTTGATGTGTTTCCTCTACCACAGGCAGGCATCCCAGGGTTCCTTGTGTGGAATTTGCATGACCCTGCCCACTGCCTCTCCCTTAACCCTTTCCTATGGCACACAGCAAACACAGAAGAATTGATCAGCAACTGAACAAGCTGGAAAGGTTTGGAGGACTGACTCAACAGGATGGAAGTTGTAGTTCACCCTGCATCAAGGCAGAGTACTGTGACCCCCTTTGATAATGGACCTGAAGAACATTTGGAATGCAGAACCATGATCAGGTTTTGGGGCACTGACCTTGATTTATCGCAGCCAACAACAGATCTGGACCAAACTTAGCACACTGACCCAACATAGCCAACTGTGCATACTGGCAAGATTTGAATGTGATTGCCATGGGAATCTGGGAGTTGTCGTTCTCCCTTATCCAGAGAGCACTGAACCCAGCCGACAACAGATCTGGACCAAACTTGGCACACAGAACCAACAAGGGCAACTGTGATTATTGGCTGGGTTTGTGGGTGGTTGCCCTGGGAATCTGGGAATTGTCGTTCACCCTTACCTAGATATCACTAAACCCAGCTGATATCAGATCTCCACCACACTTGGCACACAGGCCCAACATGGCCACCTTTGAATAATGGCAGGAGTTGGGAAGGATTGACCCACAATTCTGGGAATTGTAGTTCACCCACATCCTTATGCATATTCTATTGCGAGCATTCATAAAAAAACAAAAGACTGGCTTTTTCTAATAAATAGTGTTAGGCATTACCAAACTGATATTACCAAACTTCAAAAAAACAACAATGCCTTTCTCAAATAACCAGGGCACCACCAGGTCTCCAAGGTAGTAATAAATAAATCACATCTATTTCAGCCACAAATACTTCAAGAAAGGTTGCACAGACCATAGTCTAGATCTTCTGGCAATGTAACATGGCCAAAGTGCAGTGGAAAATGACTGACAAGGCATAAATGGTACACTAATTTTTAGCAATGCAGTTTTAGAGTATATTCTTCAAATGATGTCTGGTTATGAGAAAGAACATTATTTTTGAGTTACATTTAGAACCACAGCTCATTTGTGAGTCAATGCCTCAGAGAAATAGTGATATTGTGCCCTCTTACCAATGAACAAATCCCCAAGTATGATGCAAACCTAGAGGAGGATTGGGAGGTATGATTCCAATGTAACAGATGCTAAATAGGGATCACATTCAAATAAGGTACTTAATAATATATATTTGGTTCTAAAGATGACAAGAAAGCCCTTTGTGGTTGCTCAGCAGAAATTATTAGGAACAAAGCTTCCATTATTAAAGGAAACCTGCTTAAAACACTCCTCCTCCACAACAAAGTGGGAAATTGGGCAGACAGCCAACTCTCCAGGGTCCAGCTTTGATTTCAAGATGTATGAAATGCTAACTAAAAAGCTGAACCTTTTAAAATGATAGTAAACTACTATCAACAAAAGAGCATGAAAGTAGTTTTGTTTGAAGTGTAGTCAAAAGAGCAAAAGACTATGTTAAAATGGCCCCCCACACTTTTATAATGAATTATTCACAAGGAAATATGCAACTTCTTGAGTTCAGATTTATTCAGCATTTTCAGCAAAGTAAAACATAACAAACTGTGTATGCAAAATTTGAATAGATAAATCTGGAGAGAAACCTGAACACCCTGAATATTATAGTAATGTATAGTCTTTGCACTTTAGAAGGAATCACATGTTGCTAAAGATGAAAAACAAAAATTCAAACTGGCATATGTGGAATTTCTATATATTTGTGTGACTTAACAAGAAGGACTCTCCCCCCCCCCCATGTCACAAAGGGTTAAACCCTTGTGCCAGGAGACTGAAGACGAACAGGTCGGAGTTTCGAATCTGGGAACAGCGCGGATGAGCTCTCATTGCTAGCTCCAGCTCCCCATGCAGGGACATGAGAGAAGCCTCCCACAAGGATGGTAACGTCCAGGAGTCCCCCGAGCAACATATTTGCAGATGGCCAATTCTCTCATACCAGAAGTGACTTGCAGTTTCTCAAGTCTCTCCTGACATGGGGAGAAAAAAAAAAAACAAGAAGGAAGGGACGGGGGCAACCAGGTAACAGCTCAATAATTCAATTTGTCCAAACACAACAAGTTAAAAAAGTAAAATCACAGGAACTCTACCTGAAAGGAAAGCCAACTTTTTCTTCAGAATCGGTAATATTACCGTAGCATCCATCTTGCCTTTTGTTAACTTTCAAAGCTCTGAAATACAAGATAGTATTGCAGTGTGTTAGCCAAGGGAAGTACATTTTCTGTGATCTAAAAATGATATTTACGGTTTGTGACAACAAAGGTTCACAGTTGTTTTCTGGAAAAAAATTACAAAATGCATAATAAAGAAAGTGTGGCATGACTATATAGTAGTGTCCTTCTAAAATCACTTACAAATTTCAATTACAAGTTCAGGTGTTTCCTCCACTACAAACTCCTACCTGTTATAATCAGTTCCTTTTTGCACTGGAAAAACATGACTTGTTCAATGTTTCCCACTTTAGTATTTTCCTTGTCTGTTCAGTATCACATTTTTGCTTGTGAGGGAGGATCAATAGCTCTCCTTCAAAAATCAGCAGCTTGTTCAGAAGTATGACACCCACAAGTATATCAACATTAGGATAACATTATTTTGAAATACTCCCTCGCTCTGCTTTGGTAACTTACACAAATCCAGTAGTGTCTTCTAGTAATGCTTTAAATGACTATAAAATTTGATTTCACAGCATTCTTAATAAATTACAGTTATTCCAAAACAAAATAAAAACTAATATTCAGTTGCTCTTATCATCCTCTCTACTCTCACCCTAATTATATTTGGAAGCTACAGCTTGTTATACTACAGCTCATATCCAGAATGCCTAATTTTTAGTATTGAGGGATTTTGTTTTCACTTATGACTAACAGTCAAAATTTAGCCACCCCAACCTGGTACTACAGGTAGTCCCTGAGTTACAAACATCCGACTTACAAGCAGCTCACAGTTAAGAATGGGGGCGAGACAACAGGAAATGAGAGAAATCTACCCCTCAAGAAGGTAAATTCGCTCCTGAAAGAGTTATCATGGGGAAAAGGAGGTCTCCACTGAAGCTTTAACACCAATCCTTGTTTCCACAAGAAGTTTTCAAAATCCAATTCTCACAGGGACAGAAAGTGAGGTGAAATCTTCTGAAAAGGATCACAGACAGTAAAAGAAACACTACCGGGGTGTTAACTCTTCTCTATGCTATCCGAAGATGACACCATAATACTGTAGTTAATGTAGCTGACAAATCCGCATGTGTATGTGTGTGTGGTATTACACTTAAAAATGTACCAGTTCCAACTTACATACAAGTTCAACTTAAGATCAAGCCTACAGAACCCATCTTGTTCATAAGTTGGTGACTGTCTGTACTTAGATGGCTTTGGGTTGTAAATCTTATAATCCCTGACCACTGGTAGTGCAGATAGGGGATGGGGATGAAGAGTATAAAAGGGTGGTAGTGGGGAGAAAGTGTTTAATTTTTATCCCACATGGGAGTAAACACAACTTACCCTATATACTAATGTAAAAGCCTAGATTTTTTTGACAAAAAATTAAACTCAAAAGCCCAGGTCGACTTATCCACAGGTCAATGTGACTATCCTCACCCTTATTTTAAAAAGGGATCACATAAAAGAAGCTCTAACCCGCCTTATTTTCTTTCCCATTGCACCTCTTTGGATTGACTGCAGCATCTCCAAGACAGTATTCAAGTTTTTGCCTTGCTACAGAATGAACTTGGACTTTTCATGGGTCTTATCATATAATTTTGCCCTTAAAACCTGCCTTCGACTTATACACAACACCGGTTCATACATGAGGAGAAATAGTTGTTATATACTTTCAGGAATTAAGCTTTATAGCAACCTGTTTTCCCCACAGCCTTATCCCCACCACTAAATAAATACATAGACGTCTGTTACCATTCTCCTTGCCCCACATTTCCATAAAGCTTTCTCCCTTATTGTCTCTTCTGTTTCATGTATCTCTAAACAACATGAATGAACTTTGCTGGAGGCACTTAAGCTCTGCTGAATACATATAAAACTCCTGCAGCTTTTGCTTTTAATTCTACCGTTACTTATTTGTGCTTGTATAGAATAAGAAGCCTCAGGTTCAAGTAAGAAAGGAAAATGTTTCAATTTGCATGTTTGTTAACCAAGGGCAAAATACCTATTAGGAACATATACATGTTTCATGCACATATAAGTCTATAACTGAGCAGTTTTGTTTCAAACTAGTTACAAGGCGGTCAAATCAAACTCGTTTAAATTCTATAGATGAGGAAGGGTCCCTTTCCAATTTGGAAAATGATTATACAACCATTTGGGACAGTCATATTCAATATAGGACTGGAAGTACCAAAATGCAATGTACAAAAGTACTGTAACTCAAAGCTTTCAAAGGGTGTGTTATGACATATTACTGTGTCAGTTGCACTGAGTAGATGTGTTGTGTAACTATAATAAAAATGACAAAAAAATCTTGGAAATGTATGTTTATCTCACAAATCATAAATTTCCAGATATTTGATGCCATGCCTAGTTTGGAATGACAACCAGCCTTCCACATTTGTGGGTTTTGTGGATTGGATTATTCACAGATTAATATGGTCTCTATGGAAATCCTTAGATCCTCCAGCCAACTCTAAGGCCAACGTCCACCAGAGGTTGACAATAGAGTCGCACTGTAGGACCCAGATATGTGTTCCCTCACATTAACAAGTGTTTTTATTCACTTTTCCCCACTTTCATGGGGGTCCTGTGTTTCTAACACCAGTGAAATGTGGAGGGCTGACTGTGATGAAACTTATTTTTAGCACGGTCATGTTTTTCCCATTATAGAATCACTAGCACCACTTTAAAACAGTTCCTCGTGTAGGGAAAATATATGAATGCATCACTAGCAACATTGGTTGTAGAACAAAAGATATTTCAGAAATCAGATTAACATTGTTTTGACTGTAATACAGTTTATACAACAAATTCCACATTAACGAAAAGCTAAGAAGCTTCAAATTCTGGCCATATAAAACACGAATATCTTCAGTAGTGCCTCAAATAAATATTTATTTTCCCATTGCTTGGTGAAATGAAATAGAACACGATAAAAAGCAAACTCTTTTATTTTTCACAAGATCAAAACTTGTGACGTTCATGGTTCAAGAGATTCCTTATATACCGGTATATGAATTACAGCAGTGATTAGAGTGCTGCACTTGGGAAATCCAGGTTCCAGTCCTCATTCACTTATTAATCTTAGTAGATGAGTATGTGTCAATCTCTTTTAGCTTAATCTATTCTAGAGGCTAACTGTGAGGATAACATACGGATAAGAACCACATATATCACCGTGAGCTAGTAGTGGAAAAAAGCAATATATAAGTTTAACTAAGAGACAAACAAATAAATAAATACTCAATTCTCCTCCAAAGTTCTGGATGTGAATCTGCCATCAATCCCATTCCCTAAAATGTTACACTAAATTCATCTGACATTTAAAAAAGTGAACATAATCTAAGTGTGCATGTGATCCAGATCCAGTTCTCCACCACAATGTGAGGGTAAAGGCAAATCTGTGCCTAAACAACCCAGTCCTGACAAAAATCCTTCTCCTGTCACCTTGGGTGCCCTTTATGCTAAAGGTAAGCTGTGACTGGTGCTCATCTGAACTAGACAGCCAAGCAAGAAGTCTCCAAATTCCAAGGCATATCTGCAATTCAGCTTTAGAAAGCCCAAAGTTGGCATCCAGTACAGAGAAACTAACTTCCTGAAACTATTATTTTAATAAAAGATCAGACTTCAGAGAACAGTATGTAAGTTTTAAATCCTTCAGCTAATGAAACTTCAAGAATGGAGACAGGCTTCTAGTGGTCAAAGTAAAAAAATATCACATTCCTTCACATTTCTGATGTAGTCTATATACCTTCTATCTTTTGAGATGCAGCTAACCATTTAACTTAGTGTGAGCAATATGTTGTGGTCTAGGGGTCACACATGTTCCCTACTGCAGAACTTCTTAAACATTTTCCACTTGCGACCCTTTTCCTCCCGAGAAAGTTTTACATGACCCTGGATATATAGGTATATTTATTTATTTTTATTTATTTATTTACAGTTCTTATATTCCGCCCTTCTCACCCCACAGGGGACTCAGGGCGGATTACAGTAAACACATATATGGCAAACATTCAATGCCAGTTTGACAAACAACATTTAACAGAAAAAGGCTATTTAACTTTTTTTTCTGGCCGCCAGGGGAGCTGCTGCTTTTCATCGTCCATCAACGACACCGATGAAGTTCTTCCGCATTCCACATTCCCCGGAGTCTTCTTTCTTTATGGCCTCATAAATTAGTTAAATTTAGCCTCCCACACAAGGTGGTACCTTATTTTCCTACTTGACAGATGCAACTGTCTTTCGGGTTGCAAAGGTCGACAACGGGCTACATAATGGCTGGACACCCACTCCAGCCCGGGCTGGCTTCGAACTCATGACCTTTTGGTCAGAGTGATCTTTAATGCAGCTGACACTCAGCCAGCTGCGCCACAATCCCGGTATATAAAACAGGTATAAAAATCAAACATTTACTAAATCGGCAAGGCTGATTTTCCTTTTTGTGGAGGACAGCTGAAGCATTTTCTGCAGAGTATACTGTAAACACTACACATTGTTGCTAACAGATGTGTGTAAATGGGTGACTTTTAGAATTTTTTTACTCTTACTAATTTTTAGGGACCCTAACACTAAGTTAAGGGGGGCCAGGTTATCAACATGACTGAAGTGCAGAAGAAACTGCTTCTTTAAAGCTGAATGATTGGAAGTTACATCTAATTTGATGATTTTTTCCTCAAAAAAAGGCCCTCTGACAAGATTGCCAGGTAGGTTATAAAGGACATCCCTTCTTTGAGGTCTTGGAAGCTTATCCTTTATACAAAGCTGATGGGTGTCCTTCATTGTAGACTGGTCGATTTTAAAAACGTAGTTTTTGGTGCAAGTTCTTCACAAAGGCAATGTTTTATAAATGTAATTTATAATTATGAACAATGTGACACATTAGGATACCCATATCCATGGGACCAGTATCTGTGGTTTAATTGATCCATGTCTGACCAAATATGTCCTTTCTAAGCATTTTCGAAGTCTTCCAGGTTGAAAGCTTAAGCCATGTGCTTGAGGGGCAGAGG